AGTGACTCTTCCTCGTGGAATGACCATGCAATCCGGCACCAACGCTCTCGCTGTCACTACAGGACCAGGGCAGTGGGTGCAGGGAGCACCCAGCCGGGCCTCCTGTTCCAACTCCGACCTCCCACCCAGTGCCTTGGGACCTGACTCGCCCAGGAGGAACCACTGTGTGCACCCGGGGCAGCTGCTGTCATCGGAGAAGAAAGCGTGGCTGCTGCAGAGACCAAGCCCCACCCGCCCTGGCTGGCCGCCCCCTGCTCTGCCTCCGGGTGCGGGTCGGTGCCTCCCCCCTCTGGGCCCCACGCTGTGTCCGAGGAGGCACCCCTCTCCCGAGAAGGGCCCTTCTCCCAGAGTAAGGCCACGCGGAGCTCCCAGCTTCAATGTACGGAACGGGGGCACCAGCGCACCCGGAGCAGGCGGCAAGAAGGGGCACATTCCAGCGGCATGTTGGGGCAGAAATCGGGGGCCGCCCAAGGCCTGGGCTTGGGGGAGTCAAGCACCTGGGGAGAGAGGCCAGGTTCAGGGCCGACGTGGCAGCCTGGCTGTACACCCAGCCCGACCCTCCCGTTTCCTCACCTCGAAACCCACGTGTCTCTGCTGAAATGAAGAAGACCCAGTAAGGGTGTCCTGCCTGGAGGAGCCTCACGCTCGGTGTGGGTGGGATGGGGTCTGTAGCAGGGTGAGGCGTCAGAGACACGAAACGCCCCGAGCCAGTGGGACACAGCCCTTCCCTCGGTCCTGATGAACGGAGTACACAGGAAAAGTCGGCTCATCTGCCCCTGTGGACGCTGCAGAGACTGGCCCCTCTGGGCATCAGCCTCAGGGCCCGTCACATGGGAGGAGCCTCAGCCTGTCGGAAGCACCTGGTCTCTCTCCTGTGCCCTGCTGAAGCCCACCTGCACCCGCCGCCCTGCACCTGCCTCCCCGAGCCTGCCAGACTCAGCACCCGGCAGAGCCAGCAGAACTCGCTGTGCCAGCCCCTTATCAGCCAAGAGGCCCAGACAGGGTCCACCTAGTTGGCCTCTTCCTCCGTTTACGACGTGAAGAGTCAAACCCGCTGTTCAGGAAATGAGCGGGCACTGCGGGCATTTACTGCACAGATCTCTGGCTCTTGGTGCCTGATGCCTGAGGTGCCTGAGAGGCTGGGACGCGTCCCCTCACCTGCACCCACCCGCCATCCTGACGGCACATCTGCAGGCAAGAGACAGCTCTGCCAGGTCTTGGGCAAACACCGGGGAAGGCGTGAGCCAGAATGACACGAGTCCCCACTACAGCACAGGCCCTGACACGGGTCCCATGCGTTGCAGCAGAGGGAGACGGTGCCAGACAGGCTGGGGCAAGGTTGCGGGTGCCCGGGGGTGGGTGCAGGTGAATGAAGGGGCAGTTTTCAGGGGAAGGAGGGACAGGAGGGGAGACCACCCTGTGCAGACACAAGCTGTGTGACTGGGGGTCTGTGTGGGACAGGTCGGGAGTGACCCCCCAAGGTTCATTAACCGTCACCATGAATTCCGAGAGCCTCCATGCCAGGGTCCTGCCGGGCACGGCCCCAATGCCAGCGCTCGCCCCTGGGCTCCGACTCCCCACCAGGACCTGCAGCCCTTATCCTCACAGCACCCGCCTCTGGGACCACCGGTCCCTGGACCCTCCCCAGCCAAAGAGCCCCCGCACCTTGGCTTGCCGATACCTCCCCACCCACCAGGCACTCTGAGGGACTGATGGTCTCTGGGCCACAGCAGGAATCACAGTCCCCGTCCCTCCCTATCCCTGCTTATCTGCTCCGACCCCACCTGAGGACCCACGTTGCAGCCCCGGGGGATGCAGAGATTAATCCCCAGGCCTGGACCCGTCTGCCCGCGGGCGGCCTCCCCAGGGCGCACCCCTGACTCGCTGCCAGCTCTCATCTGGGCACAGCCGGGCGCCCAGTAATTGGTCCTCGCTGGGCTCCCCGGCTCGCCAGGGCCCCTGGGCTCAGGCTGTGTGGCCCCAACCCACCCACCTGCCCCCGTGGAGTGTGGAGCAGAGGGCACAGCCCCACCCCTCCTGCTTGGCCCCTGCAGGCTCAGCCTCTGACCAAGAGCCTTGGCTCCCCCGGGAGCAGCTGTGTCTCTGTCAGCCGCGCCCGGGTGCGGGAGGGCTAGGGGGCTCGGGGCTCAGCACCACCACCACAGGGACATTCTTTTATTTCTGTGTGTCCCACTGCCCCACACCACAGAATTGCTAAGAAGGCAGCGGGGGCCAGGCCTGGTTGTGACGACCACCCCCCTGGTGGAGCGCTGAGCGTTGTGGCACCCCTGAGGCATGACAGCTTGTTATAGGCCTGAGCGGGCCCCAGAGCAGTGGGACGGCGAGTGAAGGGGCTGTCCCTGAGCCTGCAGCCAGTTGCTGAGGAAGACTCCCCCCATCCTTCCTCCATCCCCCCTCTCCTCTCCCTCCCTCCCACCTCCCTCCCTCCCTCCCTGCAACCTAGGTCTGCCTTGAGGAATGAGACATGATGTGATTCTCGCGAATGGGTTTCCGCCCCGTCCCCGCCCCAGAGGCTCCTTCTGGGCCCTGGGTGGTACCGCTCACCCACCTCCCCGCTTTCTCCCAACCCTGGTTCCACGGCATTGCAGGGGCCGGGGGGGGGGGTCTCCTGGCGTGTCAGGAACTCCCCCCACGGGAGACGGCATCCTCGCCACCAGGCAGACCCAGACCCCTGTCCCCGACAAGCTCATAACAGACCAGTGAATCGGCCCATGCAAACGTGAGTCTGTCAGAGCTTGCTTGGAACATCCCGCACACAGCAGAAACACATGGGTGGGCGTGACTCAGTCCCGAGGCACCAGGCGCCATCCCTGCGTGGCCGTCCTCGTGGTTGCGTTGTCTGGAGAACGTTCTAGAGGCTGCTCCCTGGTGTCGAGCATCTGCAACCCCCTACCTTCTGCCTCATCCTGCCAGATGGGGGCAATCATTCCTCTCGCCATCGGGCGTGTCAGAAGCCACTGTGTGGGGGCCAGCGCTGCCTGCTGGACCCCGCAGGCTTCCCTCCGCTCCATGCACACACAGGCTCACCGCGAGGCCCCCTGCAGGTCGGTGCCTTGCTCTCCCCATCGTGGCCTCTGGAACCTGCGCTCCAGCCCTAATGAGCCCCAGAGAGATGTGAGGCCCTGCGGGAGCACTGGGCCCACCAGGAGCGGGAGGGGGCACCACTCAGGGCGGGCACCACCCCTCGCCAAGGCCCTATATGTCCCCAGGTGTCTGTCCAGGCAGCCACTGCCAGCTGCGGCTCTGCCGTGCTGGGCTGGTGGTCCCGGGCTGCTGCTCCACCCTCCCGGTGATACGCTGTCTCCGGTGAGTCCCAGAGCCCTGGGCCCTGGCCCGGGTGCCAGCAAGAGTGTCCAGATTCTGTAGTTCCCTCACTGCTGAGCCCCTAGGCTGAGGAGGAAGGTCTCTGCTGCAGCGCCTCAAACCCTGAACGTGCCGGTGCCTGCTGGTTTATGCGGTTGTTTCAAATGCTCGTTTCTCCACATTCTCAGATGGGAGTTTGGTCTTTAAGGAGGGTGTTAGGGCTTCCCTGCTTTATGGAGCATGAGGCCAGCACAGGGCTCTGAGGTCACCTGCACAGGGAGGCCCTTTCCGGGGCGGACACTGCACAGACATCGACCTAGCGGCGTGTGGGACGGAAGCCGGTCCCCAGTGCAGCAGGTGAGGCACTTGCCTACACACGGCTGATGTAGGCTCAATCTGCAGCCCCCCGGATGGTTCCAGTCCCACCAGGACTGAGCGTCTGAGCACCTGAGCACCGAGCCGGGAGTCAGTGCGAGCAGAGTCAAGGCAGCCCATAAACCAAGAGTGAAAATAGGCTCCTCTGAAAGGAAAAGTCTCCCTGGGAGCAGAGGAGAGCGTTGACGGACCCGAGAGGAGCCTGGGCTGAGGACGGGCGCGTCCCCACACGTGGCTGCCTCGGGCCCGTCACAGGGAGCCTTATCCACGGGCAGCCCTGCAGAGTGTGTGGGTGCAGGCAGGCTGGGCTCAGGGCTGCCCGGCACTGCAAGTCATGCCTCTCCCCAGGCTCAGCGGCTCTGCCGCCTTGGAGCTCCAGCCCTCCTGGACCGGGGCCACCTGGACGCCGGCAGGGACATCTCTGCAGAGGGCAGCCCTCGGGGTCTGCGTCGCTTGGGATCGCAGCCACATGTGAGTCCCCTGCCCCTGCCTCCAGTCCGCTCAGGACCCCAGCAGCCAGGGCTGAGGGCACCTTCTCCTTGGAGTGAGCAGAGCCCCTGCTCTGTCTGTGTCTGGGGTGGGCGCACAGCTGGGTGTGTTGGCACTGGGCCAGCCACAGCTGACAGCGCCAGAGGAGGGTCAGCGCTGAGCCGGGGTCCGGGGCCTCCTTCCCGGGCACTTCCCCACCATGCCGCCACCACGGCCCCCCTCTCTGCTCCCCACACAGCACCAGCCCTCAGCCGATGCGCCCCCTCCGGAGGAACACAAGCCCCCACCAGAGCACAGTGTGGGGAGGGACTGGGCCAGCTGTGTCCGCCCGTAGCGGGGAACCTTCTAGAGAGTGGGACTGTGGCAGTGCCTCGGCGGTGAAAGGCCTGCCTGGCTCCGTGCCCAGAGCACAGCCGCGCCACTGACACTGTCGTAGTAGCTGGAGCGTCTCCAAGAGGAAAATTGCAACAGTAACAGCAGTAACACAGTAACAGTAACGCAGCTGCTTTTCACTGAAGGTCTCCATGGCTCGGGGGGACTGAGATTCCCAGCACAGCTACGAGGGGTTCAGGGCTCCTTCTGCGGTCGGAGCTACGGGGCAGAAGACCCAAGGTGGGAGAGGCAGAGCTTTGCGTCACGCTCCGGGCAGACGGGGAGTGTGGGCTGCTGGCATCGGGGGCTACCCCACAACGACCCCCTGGGCACGCACACACGACCGTGATTCTCCTGAGAGTCCAGGTGAGTCTCTCACCAGGGCGGCCCCCGGAGGGCCTGTGGGCCTGTGGAAGCCTCCCCGGGCAGGGCGGGGGCCAATGGAGAGGCCCAACGCCAGCGCGGGTGCCTCCTTCATCCTGGTGGGCTTCTCCGACCAGCCCCGGCTGGAGGCCGCCCTCCTGGTCGTGGTCTCCGTCTTCTACGTGCTGACGGTCCTGGGCAACGGCACCATCGTGCTGGTGGCCCGGCTTGACGCCCGGCTGCACACGCCCATGTACTTCTTCCTCACCCACCTGTCGGTGGTGGACCTCTGCCACATGACCACCATCGCGCCCCAGATGCTCGTCCACCTGCGGGGCGCTGACCGGTCCATCAGCCTGGCGGGCTGCGCCCTGCAGTTCTTCATCACGCTGGGCCTGGGCGGCACCGAGTGTGTGCTGCTGGCTGTCATGGCCTTCGACCGCTACGTGGCCATCTGCCAGCCCCTGCACTACACGCAGCTCATGCCCCCGCAGCTCTGCGGCTCCCTTGCCGGGGCCTCCTGGGCACTGGGCTTCAGCAACTCGCTGGCACACACAGCCTATGGGCTGTCGCTGCCCCGCTGTGGCCACGTCCGCATCCACCACTTCTACTGCGAGTCTGTGCCCACACTGCAGCTGGTCTGCGGGGACGTGCGCGCCTACCGCCGGGTCATCTTCATCGAGTGCATCATCCTCATCGTCCTGCCCCTGCTGTTCATCGTGGGCTCCTACGGCTGCATCGGCTGGACCATGGTGGGCATGCGGTCCCCCGAGGGCCGGAGGAAGGCCGTCGGGACCTGCGGGTCCCACCTCACCGTGGTGACCCTCTTCTACACCACCCTCATCTACATGTACGTCAAGCCCAAGGGGGCCGTGTCCAAGTACGTGGACAGGTTCGTGGCCCTCTGCTACAACCTCGTGCCCCCCGTGATCAACCCCCTCATCTACACCTTGAGGAACAAAGAGGCCAAAGGCGCCCTGCGGAGGCTGTTTCTGAAGGGCTGGGGGAGAATGTGGCGCCCAGCGTGTGGCCCCCGGGAGCAGGCCCCTCGAGGAAAGTGAGAGGCTCACGCAGAGACACCTGTTGGAGCTCTTCACACAGCACAGAGGTCTGGGCCCAGGATGCCGTGGGGGCGGGAGTGGCCACTGCACAGGGCCAGCCCCTCTCCCCACCTGTCTCCGTTTCTCCCTGCCTCTGTGCTGTCTGCAGGTGTCCCCTGCAGAGCTCAGGATGGCGGAGCAGACTGCCACCTGTGTGAGCTAGGGATGTGGGGAGCTCTGAGGGGCTGGTGGGGCGCTGGGTCTCAGTCAGAAGGCAGAGGCCGGTGGCCACCCCTGACTGGCTTCTCACCTGTGAGCTCCTCAGCCTGTTGGAGGCCATTGTCGAGTCAGGTTCTGTGTCTTTGAGGGAGAGAGGGTTGCCCCGGGACCCTCACCCTCTCCCCAAGCCTCCCCCTCCCGGGACTGCAGCCCCTGCTCTCGGCCCACAGCGCATCCACGTGCACAAGCGAGCCAGAGGCAGGAGAGGCCATATGGAGCCCGGACTGGGCACGGCAGGAGTGCCCCGTGGACTTAGCTCCCACTCCTGCTAGCAGACACGGCCAGAGTCTGCCGGGGACCCAGCGTTGGGTTCTCTGGAGCAGTTGGCGTTGCATTTGGTGGCGGGAGCTTCCTTCCTGGAAACCAGGCAAGCAGTCTGTCGCCCGCACCCAGGCCCCTCCTGAGTGTCACTGCTCTGCTGCCTCTCTGCCGGAGCCTTAGGGAGCTGGCCCCCGGTGAGGGTCCCCAGCCGGCAAGATCTCGTTCATGCACATCTGAAGCACATGCATGTGCATGAGTTTGCACAGAAATCCTGATCCTGGCAGGTGCGGCATGGTGTGTTGCCCTGCCCTGCACGCGTCTCCATCATCTGCTGGTGGGAACAGGACACACTGCTCTATTTGCAGCTGTGGTGGACATCGGGACGCTAATTCGGGGCTGGGGCTTCTGGGTCACGTGTCGCGCTGTTTGGTGGACACACCGTCTTGCCCAGAAAGCAGTGTGCCCTCCTCGCCCTCCTCCCCTCCACACTCCTCGCCCTTTGCTTCCGCTGGGGACCAGCCGAGTCACAGGGTCCCGGCAGGACCAATTTGATTTAGACTCTGAGTGGCGCTTCTGGACCTGCCCACCTGCCCCTTGGTCTCTGTGTCTGTCCGCTGTGAGGGTGCTTGCCTAGGAGCTCTGTCCTCCATGGTGGGAATTCCCACGGACTGGTCGCTATTCTCTGCACGCATCTATACACGTCTGTGGATATCAGCCTCGGATTATCCGTGACTCAGATGTTTCTCCCAATTCCATGGCTTGCTCTCTGCTCAGTGTCTTTGCTGCACAATTTTATTTTCATTAAATTAAATTTGCTTACAGCTTTCCTGCTTCCTCTGGTTCTGATGTCATATCTGAGACCACAGCAGTCCCATTCCCTGGGTAAGTTTGGTCTTTGATCCCATTTGAGTCCTTTTTTCTTTTCTTTTCTTTTCTTTTTTGGTATATAATTAAATACCCAACTCACTTAGCAAATCAGTTTGCAATATCCCAAGACCCAAGAACATTGGAACCGAAACTTTCTCTGTTGAATGGATTGGATACACTTGTCAAAACACTATGTGGCCGTATGGGATTGTTATCTATCTTTATTTTGTTTGGGACTATCTCATTCTTACTTTGGACAACCTGGCAGGTTACCGAATGTTACCTGCTCACACGGCAGAGTCTGGCAAACTCCCTGTGGCGTACCCAATATGCCAAATACCAGTAACAATGATGGGTCTCATTCTCCTTACCCTGAAAGAGCCTTGAATATGGCACTTTTGAAAATCTCAGGGCTAGGACAAAGGAGACGTTACTGGTGCCTGCTTGAGGCAATCGACGGACAACAGGATGATCGTGATCATGATTTTGTTTGGGGGGCCACATCTGGTGGTGCTCAGGACTTACTCCTGGCTCAGCACTCAGGGGCCACTCCTGGCAGGGCTCGGGGGACTGTGTGTAGTGCCGGGGATCCAACCTGGGGTGGCCTCATGCAAGGCAAGCGCCCTCCCCACTGCCCTGTCACTCCAGACCCATCTTTGTTTTTTAACGAGTCATCCTAGCAGGATGGAAGGGAAAATACTCACATAGGAGAAGGGAGTCAGAGTGAAACAGATGACACGTGCTAGTGACAAGGAGCCTGGTGCTCTGTGTTAGCCTAGCACTATTTGGTTCTGAAGAACCAAGCTGGGGGGGGGGGGGGGCGGGGAGGTGAAGACCCTCGCGGAACCCACTGGGGGGCCACCCGTCCAGGAGAACACAGCCTTTTCACTTCACCTGGCCCGTGTTCGGAGAACTCAACCTCCCTGGTTGGAAAAAGAATGCACATTGAGGGTGTGGTCAGCCGGGGTCGACCGAGGGAGGACCTGGCTCAGCCTGCCAGCCTGCCGCCCCGTGCACACACAGTCCCCTCTTCAGTCCTGGAAGCCAGGGCAGGACATGAGTTCAGCCCAGAGCTTTCCAGGCCTGCCCTGCCTGGGGGTAAGAGAGGGACCCTCAGTTCTCAAAGTTCTGCCATTTGGTTGGGAGGGGCTGGGGGAGTCGGTGAAGGTGTGAAATGGAGGGGAGGGTCACAAGAGTCTGTGAGGCCCCTCAGGTTGGGGCCCTCCCTCCCTCTTCATCCCTGTGCAGTGGTGAAGGTTAGGGGGGCTGTGGGTGCCGTGCCCTGTGCCAGTCAGCCAGGGGTTAATGGGCTACAGCATATCGATGTGACCCTGGAATCAGAACGGGGCTCCATGGGGCTGTTCGTCACTGTGGGAGCGGGGAGGGGATGGCGGGAGACGGGTCACTCCCACGAGTGACGGGAAGCCCTGTGTCCCCAGCAGCTGGGACCTGGCGTTCTCAGGCCGTTCGTGTCTAACAAGCATTCCCCGGGGTGGCAGGGCGTCCCCAGGGCAGGGCCCTGCTGCAGAACACAGTGCAGGGAACCACCGAGGCCCTGATAAATGTCTCTGTCCCCCGGACACCAACAGAGCCTCCGGCTGCTCCAGAGGCGGCAGCCTGGGCCCCTGTCCATCATGTAGAGGCGACGACTGGGCAGGGAGCCCCGCGAGACCAGCCACGAGGTCCAGGACACGCCGCCTGCACTGTCCCTGCGACACGGCACTGGCCGAGCCTCCCGGCCGGTCACAACTTCCCCAGCACACGTCCACAGGCGGGTCTACGTTTCTCCTTTCTTTCCGGTGGTGGAGGCTGAGCACAGACTGGCCTGGGGGGTCCGGGAGGGCCAGCACTGTGTGGGCTCCAGCTGAGGGGCCGAGTGGGACAGGGGGGCCTGAGAGGTGGGAGCTGGGTCTGCCGAGACCCTCCCCCCGTCTGAGGCTGAGCACTGCCCGTGCGAGGGCAGCTGGCACTGGACTACGGGACGTCCTTCGCGCTGACTTTCCTCTGCTGTTCCTCAGACCTTGCTATTTCTGATTCTGCCCTGTGAGTCCTGTCTCACTTCATTCTTTGACTAAAACAAGAACTTTTTGTGCTTTTCCTTCTCTAGATAAAAAATCAGATGACTGATTGGATACACACACACACACACACACACACACACACACACACACACACACTTCTGAATCTTTTCTAATTCTTCAGGGATAACTTTTTCATTCATTTCACTCTGAGGTTAGAGGTGTATTTTCACTTGTAAGAATTTAGGAAATGTCATGATGTCTTGTTCTGCGACTGTGCCCAGAGAGTATGGTTTGTAAGAGCTGGTGAGCTGGCATCCCACAAAGTGCCAGAGAAAAGGAATCTAATCTGGCCTCTGAGTGGTTTCCTCTGCGTGGGTGGATGTAGGAAAATACATCCCCCCCTGCTCTGGTGCGGTCTGTCTTCTGCGTGGAAAGCACCAAACGGTCCCTCCACAGCGGTGCAGGGCTCGGCCAGCCTCACAGGGGCCCGGTCCCGAGGAGCAAAGGCGTCTCCCTGAGCCTGCCCCACGGGCGATAACAGAAACTGACTGTGAGTGACCCGCCCTCAGCAGCCGCCCTTCCTCTAGGCAAAGAGCAGGACTAGAGAGAGTTGCCATGAGTGCTGAGATACCCCCAAGCGTCCACTGAGGAAGAGGTACCTGAGGACTTCCCTGCCACACCCCTGCTGGGGAACCTCTGGCTCCCGAGACTGCTTCTGGCACGCCCTCCCTGTCCCTTGCCAGGGGTCTGTCTGCCCCGGACCTGCCAGAACCCGACTGGCCGTTGCCCTGGCCTGAGGGGGAGCCGGGGGACTCACGCAGATCTCAGCCATTCCGCCCCACAGCCTGGCTCGTCTCCCTGCCCTGGCCCCTGACCGTGGGCTTGGTGGGCACAGCCCTGCCCCTGCCAATGATGCCATGCCGGGCACCAACACCAGCGGCCCCCCGGGCTTCATCCTGGTGGGCTTCTCCGACCGGCCCCAGCTAGAGCGCGTCCTCTTTGGGCTCATCTCCCTCCTGTACATCACAACACTCCTGGGCAACGCGGCCATCATCCTGGTGTCGCGGCTGGACCCCCGGCTGCACACGCCCATGTACTTCTTCCTCACCCACCTGTCCCTGGTGGACCTCTGCTTCACCAGCAGCGTCGTGCCCCAGCTGCTGGTCAACATGGGCGGCCCCGACAAGTCCATCTCCTATGGGGGCTGCGTGGTGCAGCTCTGCGTGGCCCTGGCGCTGGGCTCCACCGAGTGCATCCTGCTGGCCGTCATGGCCTACGACCGCTACGTGGCTGTGTGCCGGCCCCTACACTACACACTCATCATGCACCCCCGGCTCTGCCACCTGCTGGCATCCACGGCCTGGCTCAGCGGCGTGGCCACCACCCTCGTGCAGTCCACGCTCACCCTGCAGCTGCCCTTCTGTGGCCACCGCCGTGTGGACCACTTCTTCTGCGAGGTGCCCGTGCTCATCAAGCTGGCCTGCGTGGACACCACCTTCAACCAGGCCGAGCTCTATGTGGCCAGCGTGCTCTTCCTGGTACTGCCCGTGTCCTTCATCCTGGGCACCTACGGCTGCATCGCCCGGGCGGTGC